CCCTACAAAGCTTCAGGCACAGGTTTTTGCCCTCTGATGTGTTGGATCACATGTTCGAGACCTATAATGCTTTAGGCCCCTTGTTTGAGCCCTACAATGCTTCAGGTACAGGTTTTAGCCCTCTGATGTGTTGGGTCCCATGTTCGAGACCTATAATGTTTAGCCCTACCTTCAGGTACTAGTTTTAGCCCTCTGATGTGTTGGGTCCCCTATAATGCTTTATGCCCCTTGTTTGAGCCCTACAATGCTTCAGGTACTAGTTTTAGCCCTCTAATGTGTTGGGTCCCATGTTCGAGACCTATAATGCTTTAGGCCCCTTGTTTGAGCCCTACAATGCTTCAGGCACAGGTTTTTGCCCTCTGATGTGTTGGGTCGCATGTTCCAGACCTATAATGCTTTATGCCCCTTGTTTGAGCCCTACAATGCTTCAGGTACTAGTTTTAGCCCTCTAATGTGTTGGGTCCCACGTTCGAGACCTATAATGCTTTAGGCCCCTTGTTTGAGCCCTACAATGCTTCAGGCACAGGTTTTTGCCCTCTGATGTGTTGGATCGCATGTTCGAGACCTATAATGCTTTATGCCCCTTGTTTGAGCCCTACAATGCTTCAGGTACTAGTTTTAGCCCTCTAATGTGTTGGGTCCCATGTTCGAGACCTATAATGCTTTAGGCCCCTTGTTTGAGCCCTATAATGCTTCAGGTACTAGTTTTAGCCCTCTGATGTGTTGGGTCCCATGTTCGAGACCTATAATGCTTTATGCCCCTTGTTTGAGCCCTACAATGCTTCAGGTACTAGTTTTAGCCCTCTGATGTGTTGGGTCCCATGTTCGAGACCTATAATGCTTTAGGCCCCATGTTCGAGACCTATAATGCTTCAGGTACTAGTTTTAGCCCTATAATGCTTCAGGTACTAGTTTTAGCCCTATAATGCTTCAGAACCCTAGTTTGAGACCTCAAATGGTTCACTTGTTTGAACCATGGATAGTTCTTCACGGGGTTCAGTATGGAATTGATTCAGCTGATGAGGATGCTTCCATCAAAGCTCTTAGATCAGAGTTTTTGTAGCATCTCTGTCTATTGCCTTGTCTAGTTCATGAGTAGTCTTTGCTACTAGCATGAGGTATTGCAATGGTCTGGATATGATTATTTCCACAAAACCTGTGAATATCTTATGGAAAGAGAAGATATCTTTTTTCAAAAAGGAAGGGTGGTGGTGTCAGAGTTAAATGTTATGCATTTATTCCCCTCACAAATCTCTTGCTCATCCATCCTAATCTTTTTTTTTCACCAGAAAACCAGATCTGATCCCAAATTTACAAACTGGAAAAGATACAGTGTACAACTGTCACATATGCGGTGTGTGAGATGAAATTGCTTGTAGCAATATTCCAGCAATATCACGGTAGGGGACACCAGAAATGGGCTTTTCCCGTTGTACCCATGTGGGGATTTGAACCCAGGCCTTCAGCTTGATGAGCAAACACTTTAACCACAAGGCTACACCACTGCCCCTCACATATGCAGGATGATGATCGATAACATAGCCTCTGTGGCCGTGAATATTCAGTGTTTCCTCTACAAAATATAAGTATGTTTCTATGTTGTGTTAAGTTGAAATAACTCGCCATCACTTATGAATTATAATAATAGATACATGTACAGCCGTTAATTAGCATCATATGCCCATTTTTCCTCCGGAAACAAATTATCTTGGTATTCTCTCTTAGGCCCAGAGTATCAAAAGAGCTTGAACTTCTTACATAGACTGTGTCTGCTTTCATATATTATGATGGAAGTGGCGTTGGCTTTCAAGTCTGAAATATGTCTTCATGAACATTCTGTGATAGCAGTATCGTGTGACACGCAACAATGATGAGCATAGCATGCGACGTGGTCATACATAAGAGCCTGTCGAGCAGTCACCATCAAAGGGTTTTTCTGACACTAAGCAGAGATAGCTGTGTTGTATGGTCACTGATGTGCGTTAAATGACAATTATATGAGACTACTATGTGATTAGTTGTGTTTAGATATGTCTCCTATACTACATGTCTCAAAACTTATCATGTGTTTGTAAGTCGGTATAATGTCCTTGTTTGGGATTTTTTGTCTTTTGATGAATAAATGATGGTTTTGACTCAAACAAGACCCATTTCCATTGCCCTGCTTCCCTTCCCTTGCCAACAAGAAATAAATATCGCCTAATGGTCTCATAAAGATACATGACATTACAGAAGTCAAGAGTCAGTCAGACTGTGTCAGGTTAAGGAAATAGTTTACACATAACAAAAACTAATTTGAATGAAAACAAGATTTTTAAACTGTGGTGTTTACATTTGAAATTATCAACAGACAACCCATACGAAGGTAGAGTCAAAGAAAAGAATCATCTCAAGTGTTTGTTTTGATTAGATTGTAACACAAGCTGTGTGTATAAGAGTCTCAAACTCAAACACCAGAATAGTCTTGAACCCATTTAGAAAGTTGTCCTTTTGAAGAAAACTGTTAGAGAAGTAGGTTATGCTTATCTTCCGGGATGTGGCATGTTTAGAAAGATATGTTCTGTTTCCTCAAGTTTAGCCAAGGTATCTGTATGTGTTTGAAAGTGAACTCCACAATGCATCAGTTGATCAGCTGGGTTAGATGATGATGCTGCTCCAAGCTGTAAACAATTTACTTTTCCCTAATATTAATTATTTTGTCCTCAATGCCTTGTAGACAAAAATCAAGTTATGCTATTGTTTAAATCCCAAATGTTTACTCTGTTTAAATCCTGACTGTTTAAATCCTAACTGTTTGAATCCCAGCTGTTTAAATGCTGGCTGTGTATAATAATTAAATGCCAGCTGTTTAAATGTTGGCTGTTTATAATAATTAAATCCCAGCTGTTTAAATGCATTGGATATGAGGACACAGAAGGAGACACAGTTGTATAGCGTGCTATACCTTTCTGGGTGGAGTTAGTCACTTGCAAGATTCCTAAGACAGAGAGGATGAGTTGCATCCCTTGGTCATGTAAGGATCCATAGACGTTATATAAAAGTAGTCTATTTATGAATCTCTCTACACGGTTATGCACCAGTCACAGCTCCCCGCAGTGTTTGGTGCCTACATCTGTGCACGTAGTTGAACTTACTAGCTACTGACAATTATGTTTTCAAACAAGTGATGACACGTGTTGTCCAAACTTTTTTTCAGTTTAAATTTCTATTTTATTTCAACTGTCCTGTAATTGGTACAGTAAGAGTGTAAGGGGGAAGGTTAATTCGGGTTTTTTTCCATTAGCTTGCAATCTTAAACCAGTCACATTTCACAAACAAATGTAAATTCATCTACTGAGTAGTAAACCAGTCATCAACCAATTCCATCTGACTCACATGGCCTTTTAAAAGACATATAAAAATATACAAGTGCAGTTTGTTTGTGATACAACCCTTACCTTTTATGACAACTTAGTATCAGCACCGATTTTCAGCTTCAGTCTTCACCCATCACTCACAGTCCCTGGATAATAATACATGTATCTTCACTCCCCCCCCCCCAACTAACTCCCCCCAACCGTATAGCTCTAAATGAAACAAGTCTAGATTTTCCATAGGTTCTGAATGTTCAAACTGTGTTTCCTGTTCTATATATAAGGCGATTTTGTTATCAAAATTGGACTAAAGTACTGTCGGAAATAGAAAAAAAACCTGTTTATAGGCTGTTATGTCTGCATCCCTAAAATTTACACAATTGCAAATAGCATAGACATCTAAAATAACCCACATCGACCAAACTGGGATGCGTAATAGGATATCCAGAAAAGCGTTTTTACTCGTAATATCGGCCAAAACTTAGAAAAATATACGAATAGCTGTTGAAAACAATAGATCAGACTATAGATGGCAATTTGGTCACTCGGCCAAGTATGACGACGGACCGTTGACTCACCTGGCATGAAATGCATGTGCTGCCTACGGGCACAAGGGGTCATCTCAAAGATATTTTATGCTTTTTCTTGTGTGTTGAATATGTTGGTTTAAACATATTTTTATTTCGTCAATGCAGAATTCTGGATAGGCGAACAAGCCTAGTGGCTTATATAAACGCCGCTCCAGTACACGGTTCCAATATAGCTGGATACATATTTGAAATAGACGGACAAGAAAAGAATTATATTGAGACAAAATTGAATATGTCTCATCTATTGATTAACATCTTTATATTGTTAGTGTCTAGTGTTTATGAACATCTTTATTGTTAGTGTCTAGTGCTGTTTGCCTACAGAGCTAATGATGTGGTTAGTGTCAAGTGTTTATTGTTAGTGTCTAGTGCTGTTTGCCTACAGAGCTAATGATGTGGTTAGTGTCAAGTGTTTATTGTTAGTGTCTAGTGCTGTTTGCCTACAGAGCTAATGATGATGTGGTTAGTGTCAAGTGTTTATTGTTAGTGTCTAGTGCTGTTTGCCTACAGAGCTAATGATGTGGTTAGTGTCAAGTGTTTATTGTTAGTGTCTAGTGCTGTTTGCCTACAGAGCTAATGATGTGGTTAGTGTCAAGTGTTTATTGTTAGTGTCTAGTGCTGTTTGCCTACAGAGCTAATGATGTGGTTAGTGTCAAGTGTTTATTGTTAGTGTCTAGTGCTGTTTGCCTACAGAGCTAATGATGTGGTTAGTGTCAAGTGTTTATTGTTAGTGTCTAGTGCTGTTTGCCTACAGAGCTAATGATGTGGTTAGTGTCAAGTGTTTATTGTTAGTGTCTAGTGCTGTTTGCCTACAGAGCTAATGATGTGGTTAGTGTCAAGTGTTTATTGTTAGTGTCTAGTGCTGTTTGCCTACAGAGCTAATGATGTGGTTAGTGTCAAGTGTTTATTGTTAGTGTCTAGTGCTGTTTGCCTACAGAGCTAATGATGTGGTTAGTGTCAAGTGTTTATTGTTAGTGTCTAGTGCTGTTTGCCTACAGAGCTAATGATGTGGTTAGTGTCAAGTGTTTATTGTTAGTGTCTAGTGCTGTTTGCCTACGAAGATTGACAGGACTAAATATTATTTATAAGTTGTTATGACATGCCATTTCCTTCCCCAGTTTAATTCCCCTAAAGGATTATCTTTTATCTTAGCTGATATCTCTATCCCCCAGCCCGACCCAACCACTGTCTGCGACACCCATCCTGGTTTTGTTTTGAGACGCCCCCTCCTACCTGTTTCTTCTTGTAGTGATGTTGAGACTCCATGGTAGCTACATCCTTAATATTTTCAGTATTAAAGTTGGTTTTTTTTACGTCAGCTATTGCTTGTAATGAAGCTAAGCTTAATTTCAAAATGAGCATTTAAAAAGTGTTTTTTTGCATACAATATCATCCCACGCTAATTTGCATAAAGCCATGGTCTGTTCCAAATAAGTCGCTTTGGACTAGAAAATAACCACATTGCTCATTTCTGCACTAATCACTCCTCAGTAAAGTCCCTTTTCTATATTTCCTATCTCTCTACCGCTGAGACTCTAGTTAGGCAGAATTTAGTTTAACAGATATTACACACTTTCACATATCAACTACATAAATTGTAGATTTTTTTTCTGTTTCCGACAGTATTTTAAGCATTAGTCAGAGTTTTCCACAATGTTTTGCATTTTATGCTCAACATAATCAGGGAATTGATGAATGATATTTTTAATGTACAGTTAAGTTTCTAGCACATCTTACCTATGGTGCCTATAATGTGGTTAGTGTCAAGTGTTTATTGTTAGTGTCTAGTGCTGTTTGCCTACAGAGCTTACAATGTGGTTAGTGTCAAGTGTTTATTGTTAGTGTCAAGTGTTGGTTGCCTACAGAGCTTACAATTTGGTTAGTATTAACTGTTTAGTGTTAGTGTCTAGTGCTGTTTGCCTACAGAGCTTACAATGTGGTTAGTGTCAAGTGTTGGTTGCCTTCAGAGCTTACAATGTGGTTAGTGTCAAGTGTTTAGTGTTAGTGTCTAGTGCTGTTTGCCTACAGAGCTTACAATGTGGTTAGTGTCAAGTATTGGTTGCCTACATTGCTTACAATGAGGTTAGTGACAAGTGTTTAGTGTTAGTGTCTAGTGCTGTTTGCCTACAGAGCTTACAATGTGGTTAGTGTCAAGTGTTTATTGTTAGTGTCTAGTGCTGTTTGCATACAGTGCTTTTCATGTGGTTAGTGTTTAGTGTTAGTGTTGAGTGCAGTTTGCCTACGGTACTTAGCATGTGTGTAAGTGCGTACGTGCGTGCGTGTGTGCGCGTGCGTGTTTTACTTAAAACAGACAGCTAATGACCATTGTGCTATGGCACATTCATTCTAAGACCTAATTCAACATTAAGGGTATTTCCTTGTGTACCTAATGTTTTGGGAGACATGTTTAACCAATACCAACAGTAGTTGTAATATGGTGTAGTGTTAGAAAACTGGCATGTAAATGATGCAATCAGTCCTAAGGTAGTCTCGGTCCTCAAGCCTTGGGTATTGCTCAATGACTTCCTGAAACAACCATAGTTGCATGCTGTCCAGTAATAGATCCAAAAAGGTAACACTGTAGAATTGTTAAAAATTGGAGATTGAAACATATTTTTCCATTATGATTTCTATTTGTTTTTCCTGAGTGAAATTAGTCATGTTGCCATGGTTACACAGAATAAAAATGCAATTACCTTGCCATGGTGTCATCACTATGGTGTCATTACCTTGGTTTCTTTTGTTATAATCAATATTCCATGATACTTGTCTCCTTTCCCATGTCTCATGTCCTGGTGTTAAAATTATTTGAACAGTTGTTTTTTAACAATTCAGTGTAAATTGTACCTTGTTGGTACTTTAAATCCTCTGATTAACCACTGACATTACATCTCCGCCGGCGGGATGGGTCAAGTAAACATGTTTTGATTTTATTTATGCATTTTTAATTTTTTTATTTTTGAGGAAAGACGTTTTGTGAATATTTTATGTCTGTTTCGGTTATTTATGCCATCTTTACCACATAAACAGCAGATGAAATGAGCACTGATCTGTTCCGACAGGAGTTATTTGTGAAAGAAATTGTACACATAAAAATGTACAGGGCTTAAGACAATTTGGCTAAACTGTGCCAGAGTGGGAATTAAAGGTAGCCTAATTGGAAAAGACTTGAGATCGTAATTCTTCAATGTGAGTTGTATTTAATAGGATGCATGGAATCTTCACATCATATTATGTCATTTTAATGGTTAAATTAGCAATCTCAGGTACTATTTAGGAAGATGGACACTTTGTACACATCTATCAAACAGGATAACTAATTACATTTGTAATATTGTGAGATGAAGAGTTACTGACTGACTGACTCAGTATGGTTTTACGCTGCTTTTAGCAATATTCCAGCAACATACCGACGGGGGACACCAGAAATGGGCTTTACACATTGTACCCATGTGGGGATTCGAACCTAGGTCTTCAGCGTGACGAGCCAATGCTTTAACCACTAGGCTACCCCACCGCCCCGAGATGAAGAGTTAGAAAACAGTAATATCATAACTACATATAAACAATGTTGTATGTATCTGACCATCATCACTTAACCAGGGTGTAGAATAACTATCATTCTATTTCTTTTAATAGTATCAGGAACTAGTTTTATAAGTTGCTTTTGCATTTTGTCTTTTCAGGGATTGTCATGAAAAAACTGACAAGGGGAAGGTCATTAAATATATGACAATCTTTTAGGAAGGTCATTATTTTCAGTTCACTAGTGCAGCAAAAACCTCTGACACCCATCTTGTAATAAATTATCCATTCTGAACTATTCTTGAACCAGATGTCTCCACAACTTCATTTTAGATTTGTCACAATCTCTGTCTGTTTTATCAGAAGTCAGTAATGAATCACTCTCCAACATCAATGTAATTAGATTTAATGGGTAATTTCGAAATGTGGCATGCAAATCAGCATTAAACAAGTTTATCATGGTCAACGAGGTCATTTCTGTCATGATGGTCTCTGATGTTTTCCTGTTTGCTCCTCTCAGGGTGGAGACCGCCCCCGTGGTGTAGTGATTAGAGCGTCCGCCCGGAGAGCGGAAGGTCGCGGGTTCAATCCCCGACCACCTCATACCAAAAGTACTTGTTGGTCCCTGCCTGGCGCTCGGCATTCATAGGTACAACAAGGACTGGTCGGCTCGGAGTCAGTATAATGTGTCTGAGTGGGGTATTCATGCTTAACTGCGGCATGGTATCTCAGTGGGCTAGCACTATAAAACCAGCTTCAGTCTGGGCTAGTACAAGCAGCCGCACATACACATACACACGCATGCACGTGGTCATGTGAGCAAAATATTCTCAAGCACGATGTTAAACCCAATTTCACCTCACCTCACCTCCTCTCAGTGTGGACTCTTGTAACACTAAGGCTGGAAGAGTTATTTCCCATTTTGTACACTGTAGCTTGTCACAAAAACTCTCTTTGGTTTGTTAATATTTTAAGAAGCTTCATCAAGATTTCAAAACATTGTTCTTTTGATATAAATATAAGAGCTGATAGGACACGAGGCAAGGTTGTTTGTGCTGTTTCTGCTAATCCTGTTCTGTAGTGCCAATTCACTGACTTACTACGTTGCTGAAACCCCATTCAGACTTAGCATACTGACTCTGAGCTGACCTGTACAAGCAGGGCCATTTTAAGCTGGAGATGTACCCGTGGACCTAAACAATAAACAATGTATATAGTTGATGGTGTGTCATCACGTAATGGTAAGGGACCATTCATAATTTATGGCTGGGGTGGGGGGTGTTTGATGAGGATTTTAAGGAGGGGGGCACCCATTTTTACTTTGTAAGTAAATTTAGTGGGGGGGAGATTCACATTGTACATGCTTCTGCATAAAAATCATCATCACCCCCTCTTGCCATAAATTATTAACAGTCCCTAAGTAACATACAGCTGTCATAGTGCCAGAAATAAACATTTATCCAGTCATCCTTCTTCAGGTATTCCATGGGTTCAACTCCTGGTTTATTATGTTTCTAGGTTGGTCAATTCCAGTCAGTCAGTTTGGACAATTCTGGAACACTTGTTTGCAATAACAATATTGTTCACAAGGTTGGTTTTGTCTGTTATATTTCATGACCACTACAATCTCATTCCAAGTCATGATTGAATTTATCTTAATTTATGTTCCCAACATACTAGTCATCCTTTTAAGATGTGAAATTTGTAAATGCATTTTGTGCAGTTTGAAAAACAAATGAAAGAACTACATGTTTTATCTTTATTTTTTTGTGCATGAACAAGCATAACCAGTAACATTTGATAAATGACGCTAATCAAGTACTTACGATGATTAATCAGTTGCAATGAACCAATCATCAATTATGAGATTTTAACCAATTCCCAACACTGCTATCTTCCTCGCACATTCAGGGCATACCTTGAGGTTATTGTAGTACGGTTCAAAGTATTGTTGGACCTAATTCAATCACCCTGGTATTTCATCTGTGAGGGTTCAGAGAAATTAGGGGGCAGGGTCACCAAACTACATACCGTAGTGATAGTTGTGTGTTCTTCTCTAGGGTTATATCATTATCAGCATCCATGTTTCAAACACTTATGCAGGAAAATGCCATGCCTCCCCATCACCTATGATAAATGACAGGGGAGGAAATAACCCATTGCCCGACGCCCCAGTCCAGTGCTTTTTTTGTTGGGATAGCAAATTTGTATGTCACGCTGTACCGGTGTCTAGTTGACTTTCAAATGTTAATTATGTTGTTTATTTAAAAAATCAACAAGAAAATCGACCAGTATAGTGGAAAAATTATCAGGGCAAGTGATTTTACATGTGCCACTGTACCGGAGTACATTAGCAATTTTAAAGTTATTTCCACCCCTGAATGACAGGGTGCCGTTGTGCAAAACAACCTTAACAAGGCCATGTTAACATATGGGAGTTGTAATCGTCTTAGCAGTAAGATTGACTTGTGCAACACCACCCAGGTCTGTAATTGTACTTGTTTTCCAGTACAGAAAGCTGGCTCCTGACAAACTAGAATACACATGTAAACAATGAACCAGGTGTATCACAGGGCTCCAAGATATTAATATTTTATGCTTGCTTCACTCAGTTTGCC